AAATAGCCTTAAAACTGCATTCGAATTTATAATTTTTCCCACTCAGTATCCTTTGAAATAATTTGAAACATAATCGTCACAGCCCATCCAATAACCGCTAGAATAATACAATAGACATACCTATAATGCACCACTGACTAGCATATATAAATAATCGAACCAAAACGATTGCGTTTAAACATGAAACAGACTCTCACCACTCTTGACCTCAATGTTGACCCAGTTTGGTTGGGATATCCTCGTAGACCCACTATACTCACCTGACTATGCACTTTCTGATTATCACTTATTTCGATAGTTACACGGGAAAAATTTCAGGTCTCTAGAAGTCTGTAAAAATCAGTAAAACCAATTAATCACTAAGAAAGATACTGAGTTCAAGAAGGACATAAAGCTGTCTCAAAGTTGCAAAAGCTATTGGAACCAAATGGCATATATGTAGTTGAATAAATCTATGAACAAATATCTATATATTATCTTTTAAATTCACTCAAAATCGCAACGATTTTTGTTCTGAACCAATAATACGCCAAAGGTAGCCGTTAGTGGCATAGCGATAGAGATTATCCCTTCCCACCTTTACTTTATTAGGCATCACATTCTGGAAAAATTGGGTCTGTTCCATGAAAGTGAGTATGAAGCAGAGGTGTGTTATTGAAAAATAGTACCTATTAACATTCATCAACACTTACTGAACAATAAACGGACACAAAACAGTGAGGGCAATCACAGTTAAGCGGTGAGTAACGCGTTTCAGCAGTGAAGACACTAATGTGTAAGTCAAATTATTTGTTGAAATAAATTAGACATTTCTTTCGGAGCGTTCCGTGTGTGTGTGTGTGTGTGTGTGTGTGTGTGTGTGTGTGTGTGTGTGTGTGTGTGTGTGTGTGTGTGTGCAAAGATGCATCAATAATTCTGAAGGCCAATATGTAGATATTAACTAAATTTTAATCTGAAACTTACTATGTATAATGTCCGATCTATGTGACTGATACTTAATTAAGTGCACTGATTTTTATATAGTCAGTTTCGTTCTTTGTGTCTTTTCCCAGGTATCTTGAATGCTTTTAAAACCAGGTTTTGCTTATTATTTGGTCATTTGCTGTGTACTATTGCACACATTTTTTCCATCCCTTTCCTTTTTGTCTCCCAAGATGATGGTGATTTCCCGCGATTTACATTGAGTCCAGTGTACTGTAAAATTTATCAATATCTTCCTTCGTGTTTTGTGCTGTCAATGTGTATACTATTATAATTGATATATTAAACAAATAGGTTTCAGCTTAACTAAAAATTCTGCCAGACAGTTGATAATATCCTAGAACACATAGCACGATTCTTACTCCTTTTTCATTTTTCTCTCCACCTGCATATATGACCCTGTGACCATCACTTATGAAATCCCTATTATTTGCCAACCTGGTTTTACATACTTTTTCATTGTTAATATTTAACTTTTTCATTTTCATCTTGATATTTTATAGTTACATTCCTTGCCTCTATTACTGTTTTTTATCTATTGCGAACAGTCGCTAGATGACGGTCTGGCGACACCTGTTACACAAGTTTCTTTTTATTTTTTATTGCTATATCATCACTAGTTAGCTGGCTGTTAACTCGTCAAGAGTTCTTCAACCCTTTAGTAAGTATTATTTTTGACCTACAGAGTTACTACAAAGAAAAGCGGAAGGGACGATCCTGTCGACGATCACCCCACAAACGAAAAGAAAGAAAAAAGTATAATTTAAATTTTAGTTAGTTAAAGTTCTAACTTATATATTCTTTTTAAAATCTTTAGGACTTTTAAAGCAAATTTATCTCTTGGCCAATGAGTCATTTGTAAAAAGAAATGAAATAAAAATAACCCACTATTCGATTGTGAGTTTATCTGGCCAGAGATAAAACGAAAAAATATTATTTAAAATATTACTAGTAGTTTAAAACTAAATATTTTTTCATGAGATGGGGTGGAGTCTAAAAGAAAAAGAATTTTTTTAAAAATTAATAACAAATATCTCGTCAGTAAGAAAATCTTTCAAAAGAAGTATTAGAAAGTTCTAAATTATATATTTCTTAATCTTGAAGAATTTTAAAGCAAGCTTCCTTACCTTAACTACCAACTTAATAGTGAGAAAAACTAAATAAATAAAATGCTTCATAGCAATTGTAAAGAATTGTAAAGAATGGCTCAAATTACTTTAAGCTATTATTATAAAAAGAAATAGAAAATTTTAAACACGCCATCTTTTGCTATTTTAAAATGTTTTTTTAAAAAATGAATATTTGATCCTTAAGTGCTGTCATGTCATGTAACTCCAAACAAAGTAATTTAAAACAAATATTTTATATCCTTCCAAAACAATTATACAGCATCTGTATTTCTGTTTTCAATAGTTCAAAACGATTTTGTAAGGGGAATGGGTTTCGTCTTGAAATAGAATAGATAGTTATCCCACATTACTGGGTGATTTCTAACAAACTTTTGCTATTGATCAGTTCGTTAAAATTAATCTTTAATTATTTTGTTTACCTTTTTGAAATCCGAAGAGTTTGACCAATCAAAAAGTCAATATTTAACTATCTCTGCTAACAAAAAGTAAATTCACTATGGTTAGACTGGGTCATGGTCGATTTGAAAGCATTAAAGAAAAACTCTATTTGTGCTATGAATTTATGCTTCATCATTTTAGAAATACTGTTCTCTATGATGCGAAGAGACCATTATTAAACCAACGTATGCGTCTGAAGGTAAATTAAGAATAAATAAATGGAACACCAAATTTTTACGAAACATAAGCTTTGTAAACCACAAAATCAAGTTTTAAAACAGGTGTGAAGATTTTAGCAGAAAGTTCGAGAAAGCGTTTTATTCGATAAATTCTGTTTGGGAGCGTGACAAAACCCTTAGTATTTATGCTTGTGCGCGTGAGTATCATTGGTTCATAGGCCACTTTCTTTGTTATATTTTGATACATAACACGTTAGCACGATTCAATTTTCATCCAGTATGCATTTTCGTTTCATTCTTTCGCTCATTGCCTAAGCAATCTGCTTCTCTGTCTTCGACTAACGAAGTCCTATATTGGAAGCAAATTTATGTCTCATGGTTGACCGTGCCTATTCTGCTCATTTAAAAAATGCCCATCCCTAACTGACAAGCCAACTCTCCATTACTTAGTATTTTAACTAACACCGATGTGACACAACTGTCTCCTTATTTAAACTGTATATGTACCGTATATTTACGTGGTTGACAGTAAAATAAACACATACATGCATATATATATATATATATATATATATATGTGTGTGTGTGTGTGTGTGTGTGTGTGTGTGTGTGTGTGTGTGTGTGTGTGTGTGTGTGTGAAGCAGTGTGACGTGCAGGGGAAAAATTTCAAGACAAATATCTCTTCGCCTGGGACATTTATTGCATAACAATGAAAAATCTAATAGAATAAGAAAGAGATAACTATAAACGAAAGGATGACTCATTTGAAAAATAGGAAAGCAAAAAGGATCACTAGTCTTTTTGTTAAGAGAACACATAGCAAACAACTTGACTGAAACACTTCACAACCTATTGATGAGTTGAATCTTGGAAAAGAAACATTTGAAACCTTCCATTAAACACAGCAGAAAATGCGATAACGCGTAATTAATCAGACGTAATAAAGAGAAAAGGCTTTCTGCGTCGATGTGAACCTTTTAATGCTACAAAGTTGGAGGTTATGAAAAAAAAATTGTTTTTGTCTTTCATTTAAAAACAAAAGAAAAGAATAGTAAAGAATTAAGTAAGGCAATCGAATTACTGTCATTGGGTGGGATCTTGGGAGCACAATACTAAGCATTTTGGGGATATTATTTAAAGTAACATCACCTATATTTAGCTATCACCATATATTTCTCTCTTTAAAAAAAAAAACGCATTTTTCTTCAGAAGTTCCCGATACATACATCAATTCCTATATAAAGCAGTGAAACTATTACAATGCACTAAATGCCAGTCTTTTATATCCTAATATAAGAATGGAAGCATAATGACTATGATAAGATCGGATAGAGACTCAGCTATGAAAAACAGACAAATAATGTACATAAAGCCAGTTTTAGCGGGGGCTGGGTAAATTTTGACCATTGGCCCGAGTGGACACGCTCCGGTTCCTCACAATAATCCCGACTTTGTGTCGCATCTCAAGCCAGTGTGGGGACTGGTCTTTTCGAGTCAGGCAGTTATTTATTGTGGCGTGGAGCTTAGGAGCCAAAATGAACAGTTGATTTACCCACGTCATGAAGATTAATGGAGGCTGATAATGATGAGGAAACACGAGAGTAGTTTTAACAAAGTAAAATTTATTTACAAATTTACACACTTGAAGTTGTGTCAGTAACTCGTTTCAGGAAAATCAATCAGAAAATTTTAAAGTCCGTAGTTTTAAATAATTGTCATGAAGAGGAAATGTTTATACAACAGATTAAATAATAATAAAAAAGATAATAAAAAAAATAATAATAATGTTAAAAAATGTTTAAAAGAAAGGTAAGAGAGTTCGTTGCTCACAGAGGGGATATATGGTTACATACATTCAAAATAGACGAAGAGAGTTTGAAATAATTAGACTTCTTGGACTGTTGAAGGAAAATTCTGCGGGCTGGTTAAAAGCCGATAATATAATTGACGAGTAATTTCACACGAAAACTTCCCGCTGACCGCGGTGAGCAGAAACGAAACCGTTTACATGACTTCAATTACTCTTTTCTTATTAGTGTAATTTTTTTGCTCATTTTCTTTTTTCTTCTTAGCTTAACGGCTAATTTCTGTGAAGACAAGTTTACAAGAATATTGCACAAACATGCGTTGGCTACGCATCTAGGTATCAAAATGGCGATTTGAATATTTCTGAGATGTTTGGTTTCCGAATGCTTCAATTCCCCCCGTTCTAGCTCTTATCGACAATACTGTATAGTTGCCGTTCCAGCCCCACTGCGAGTCTGCAACAGTGATGTTCCTTTGTGTGTGTCCGTTCCTTCCACGGGATGCGTGTGTACTCCTGTCTTCGAACAGCGGAAATTTTCTTAGCACGTCGTTCTTCCCGGTGACTCTTGAAGAGAAAAAAATCTATTGGTCTATATAAGCTATTCCTCTGTGAACCCCTTTCCCTATTTTTGACAATGATGTCTATAAAATTTTCCACCTTCATCTGGATTATGTAAATGTCCATTGTTCAGCAAAAATACGCGAGCCCAGCAAAACAACATTTTAATGAAAAATACCTTATGGCTTAGCATCGTGGTAACAAGAATTTTTCCCTCTCGGAAAGCCAAGTAAATATTTATCATTATGAGACCAACTTTGAGAAATTCTAGTTAATTACTTTTCACCGAATTTGTTCGGTGTTTAACTCTCTCAGATTTCCTGAATTTTATATATCTGATGTAATTTTAATTTTCCGTTTCTCTTCCCATTTTTCAACCAATTTATTTAAAACATCACTCGGGGAGATTTATTTGTAATTACTAATCACTTCAAATCACCATTTTGTATTCTCGTGCAACTAAACATCGAATCAGGGCCCTGTTGCAATTAGATATTATTTCGTGGCAGAAATAATATCCCCCTGTTGCAATTAGATATTATTTCGTGGCAGAAATAATATCCCCCTGTTGCAATTAGATATTATTTCGTGGCAGAAATAATATCCCCCTGTTGCAATTAGATATTATTGAGAAGTATAGTTATTGCGCAAAAGAAGCATATATTCCTGTGTTATTAGATATTATTGTATAGTAGAAGTATATGATCTTGTGGTATTAGATATTTTGAAAACTGTTGGAGTGTATCGTTCAGGAATAAAACACCCTTTTTATCCAAGTTGAAAAAAATAAAAAGATGAAAGAACTTTGATACAGACAAATGGTAACAAACATTCCAAACTTGGCGCATCCCTCTTTAGATAAACATTGTTTTTTGAATAATTTTGGTACAAATTAAACAAAGCCGTTTTCATTTCAAGAACGAAAATGTTTTATACGCAAATAAATTTAGATTTTATTCACATTTTATAATTACTCGTTTGCATTATTACAGACAAATCAATAAACAATAAACTTTGACTTAAATTCACAAAAAGTAAATTGTTATTTCTGTGTAAAACTGTAAATCTATGTATGTGGGCTGTGGCACCCTACTCGAACCAAAATGAAGAGCGGGACAATGAACAGTTCTCATTCGACAGCTGTTCATTTGACATGAAATAAAAAATGATGAAAACGCACATATCATGTATACTATACCTACAAATATATATGTGTGCGTGTAGTTATGCATATGTGCGTATATATGTGTGTGCGTATATGTGTATATGTATGTGTACAATCGGGTATTTCCTATATTCACTAAAAGTATAAATTACATATTAAGTAAGAATAGATGGACACAAAAATTTATTACTCCTATCTTCATAAAATAGGCACTAATTTTTACATATAACTATTAGCCATCTCCACTATTTATGAGTTTAGATCGCTATTTAAGCGCAATCAAGAGAGACTAGAAATAAAGCTGTGCGTTTGACGCATTTTCGCAATAAATGGGTGACTTTTTAAAGCATAAGAAAGCGAAATTAGGGGATTCTCAGTGTTTATTTGATTTACTTCATTACCAATTTATACTTGAAAGAAAATATTACGTAAAATATTAAAAGGTTATGGTTTACAATTCCTTAGTTTAGGACAAAAATCTGAAGTGATAACGAAAATTATAATGCTATAAAATAGACAAAATAGACTAAGAGTCAATTCACGTATCTAAGAGATGACAAGTTTCATCTATCTGTGTCAGTTTATGTAATAAAATGAAATAAGTATGAACAACACAAGGTAGTAACAGCAGCGCAAACCGATTTCAGAAATGAATTTCAACACTCAAGAGGTTTGTAAATAAAAAGAAATATTTTAAATTTAATATAAATCAGTGAAGATTCAATGTTCATTTTGCTTCAAATCTTCTTTTGAGAATGAGCAAATCTACAAATAACATTTTTAAACTCTTACCTATTTACACGCTTTTGTAGTATGGAAATGAAATAGTACTGATATCAATGAATTTATTTGAATAAATTAACTTTTTATAACAAGTACTTTTTCAGAAATTAGAAAATTGTTCCATAAAAGTACTATTCATTCTTTACGTGATATGAAAAGCCATGTAATCGTGTTCATAAACAAACAAAAAAGATTAACAAAGGAAAGAAATTTAATAAAAATTAGAGATAGCAAATATAATCTATGTCTGCAGAAACTGTTTTCATGTAAATAATTTTACAATTACGTTTCGACACCAGAAAATTGGAAAATTTTGGCAGGAAACTTGTCTGAAATTCTGACAGATGAGTCATGATTTTTAAACCATAACAATTTCGTAGTTATAGCTTGTTGGTTTTGGTACCGTTTTTCAACCGATGCTGTGATAAAACCAACAGGGATTGAAATATTGTCCGAATAATTTGTAGGTTAAATCTTTGCTAAGTTTTCGTAGATTCAGTAAACTGCACTAAAATTTAAAATCTTAGCACAATGCTTGATAGAACAAATTTTCTCAAAACGTATTAGTTTTGGAAGGTTAATTTTGACAATGTTGCTATATTCATATATATTATTACATATATCCTGGATTATTTAAAAATGTGCTAACATTTGCTTTGCTTACTATCAAGTAACAAAAGATTTTAGAAAACCAAATATAATCTTTATATGATATCCATTTTAAAAATGAAATACCTTAGCTGTCAAAGATATGTGTACATTTGAAATAAAATCGATAGGCTCGCTTTTGTAGCTTCATTTATTTGACCGAAGATTTCAAATTTCTTTACAGACATCGATAAAATAGATAAAAGGTAGGAAAGAAATAATAAATTGAACTATTATGAGAAGTTAAACTACACGAGCATGCAAGTATCCCATCATTTAAACAAGCTTGTTTTCTACTTTTTTATTTCCTATTCCTTGTACAGTTTGCTCTATTACTAGATATGTGTAATATGTTGTTCCTTATTTCTGTTTGAATCATAAACTAGAGCCAAGATCAGAAATGTCGCTTCATTTCTTTTACCTGATATTCAGAATTTTGATTGTTGTCTAAAGTGTTGGTTTTCATACAACTACACAACTTCCCATTCTCTACGATTTTATTGCATCATTTGCTTTTTATAACGATGCCAGGCTGATCAATTATTTGCTAATGTTATAAAGAATCTAGTCTGATTCAAGTACTAATTCCTTGTCATAACCTCTGACATTTAAGCTTACCACTGCCATGCTGGGAGCGTCTCGTAGATGCTTGCTAAAAGATTCATTGCCCAACATGCTTCCATATTTTCTGTCATGTTTTATACATTGAAATTGAAATCAACTGCGCTTTATGACGTCAAATGGAAAGGTCATGAAGATCAGATTTTACAAAATTAAAAGTTAAAATGTTTTCAATGCGCGTTTATATATTGGAAGATGCTAATATGTTTTTATAAAGTCAAAGAATTTCATATTTCATTAATGTTATGGGAACTTACCTAAATACCGAATGAATGAATAGCGTAACGAGTCGAGACAATTTTAGTTTACTCTAAACCAGATGGACAGTCATTACTAACAACTTTAACTTCTTGTATTATATTTCTTTTGTAATATATCTTTGTTATTCTACTCTTGTGTTCGTGTTGTTCTTCCTTGGTTCTAATCTTGGACCATAACTGTGGTGCGAGGATATTGGACCATAACAATTGATTAGAAAATATTTTCATACGATCCAACAATGGACGTGTCAGATATACAGAAGAAAATTATATAATATTTTATCATACTGATGTTACTATGTTACTATGGATCCTGTAGTTTTATCATAAATATATTCATTTTTTTTTCATATTTTTTCTACGGGTTGAAGATTATTTTTGGTAGTTCTAGAAAAAATAGAGACAAGAAAGATCAAATTTAATCATACATCAAATGTCTGAAGATCGATATGTGCAGTGAAAATATATATGCAAATAAAAGAAGACCTTTTAAAAAGTTTTCCAGATTAATTTTACTGACGAATATATTTACCGTTGGGCGCCACTATTTTCTGCCGTATTCTAGGAAGCTTCATAATTCCACCCTAACTTTTAATTTTTCTCAGCAATTGCATTATCTGCCTTTTCTTCATTAAGATTATTCTGTAAAGCCCAAAATAAATGAATCGGTAGTTGCAATATCTGATGACTTGGAAGATATCCTGTAACAATTTTGCGTGGTTACCAAAGAAAGACGAAGTCTAGCGTTCTCCTGATAAACTATTAGACTCTTTATTTAAACAAAATTCAAAAGTTTTTATCAACTGCTCCCTTCAGATGGTCTAACTAGCAGCGGTGCATGTTCATATTAATCGTTTGATTCTCTGGAATAACTCGTAAATATACACACCATAAACTTCTTTAGAAGACCATCCTTTGGCATGGTTAACAAACAGAAAAGCGATACCTAAAGTTTAAAATGAATTTTAAGAAACAAAAAATCTTTCTTGACCCTTATAGTTTAGTTTTATTTTAGTATTTTAGTTGATTAAATTCAATATTTTCAATAAACAAAGTACTTTTTCTTTATTTCACATCTAATTTGAATTGATTGAAACAACTATTAATTTAAGCTTAAAATATCGCAGAAATGCATTTTTAACACGGCGGAAGCTACTTATTTGAGGTATTCAGAGCTTGACTGAGAAACGAGAGTTTATTTAATTTCTTTCTACGGTGGACATATCTATAAAGAATACTTGAGAAATAGAAAATGAGCCACTTCTTTATATAATTTGTAACTACCCAATAATCTTAAAAATTTATGAAAATATTCCCCGTGATCTAATGTTTTATTAAATTTTATGTAATTTGGCTTACTATAGTTATCGTTATTATTTTCTGACAATGTCGTGCATAGACATCCATATTTACAAAAATCGGCACGTTTATACACACAAAAAAATTCAAAATTCTTTTTAAAAGATGGAGGTGGGGGCGATGAATTGTAGTAAGCATTTCTATTCATGATTAGTAAATACAATTTTTACTTAATAACAATATCATCTAACCGGTACACATTAATAGAGAAATTTAAAAGATTTAAAATTCTATAAATTATTATAATTAAAATTTTTAAAAATGAAAATTCATTATTCATGGAAAAAAATTTTTTCTTAAGACAGTAGTGTCCATAATGTATCTTATTCATAAAAGCAATTACAAGCTTTTCTAATGTCTTAGTTGTATTGCATGTTTTATTTTACGATTCAGAGAAGACTTTCAGTAACTGGGGGTCCTGTTTTACAAAAAGAAATTGATGATTTAAATTCTCTAAGGAGTTCTGCTTTTAACTAATATAAACATTAAGCAGGACAACATTTAATTTCTCGAAACTTCATAAAATTAAATAAGCGAGTGTATATGTCGGGTAACAGATGTAAAAAATATTTTTACCAAGATTTTCTAAAAAGAAACATTTCTAACATAATTTAATTCATCTGTGAAAAGTTTAATTAAAATTCAACAATTATTTGATCTTTGCAACATTTTCCAAATCAATGTGTTTTTCGCCGTAAAAAGACGTTAAAATTTCCTATGAAGATTTTTAACCAAAATTTCGAAAAAGGATAAATATATGATTTAATGGTAAAAATATCCTTTGGTGTTTCCTCTTAATAAAAATAGAAAATTTTTGACGATAAAACTTTAGGGCATTTTTTCATCATAATATTATAATTTTTTAGTGAATCAGTAGTTGTACCTAGACTAAATCCTGTTTCGTGACCTAAGGACATTTCAGTGTTTTAAGAGAGACTATGTCTCTTTTCTTATAACTGAGAATGGTCATGGTTGAAAAGTGCAGTATTAAAAAATATTAGTAAATATACACCAGTCCTGAGTTTATATTAATTGTTATTTTGTAGTTTTAGTTGATATTTACTGAAACAGTATCATTGAATTTGCCAAATCATTATCAGACAGTGTATACTAAATCATTTGTTTTAGTGACAGTTGAAAGAAGATAAATCTTCTTATATTTAGGTTATATATTCGCTACCGGGACGACGACATGTAAATGATGATATATTTTTAAGCAAGAAATCAAACATACATAGCCATATACTAAGATGATGAAGCGAGAACTTATCAATGATAACTTGACTAGCTCATAAATGTCCACAGAATAAATGTTTAAATATAAGATTGAACAGAAGACGACATTCAAGGAAAATCAAATCGATTTGCTAAGTCAAGACTTGTAAGATAGAACTCATTAACCGTTTGTATTTGTTTTCGGAATGTTTTTCAGAATTCGTTATTGAGAGAGATGTTTGTCAGTAAATGTTTTTAAACGCGAGTTTTACTAAAGAAAAAAGCGATATTTATAAGATATATCTAAAAAGTAAAGATTGTAACTACATACGTAATCTGCAATTAGCAATAAACAATTTTCTACTTAATTATACAAATATATATGAAGAATGCAAAGAGAAAGCTCATTGTGGGATAGAGAGCAAAAAATACTCAACATTTTAATTTCAACCAATAAATTATTGAAAAAATATTGTCATAAAAACGTTGGAAAGAGAATGTATTAGTCTTTCACTAATTATTAATTAATTATTGATAGTAAATTAATTTTTGAAACTCATTCTTTTCTTATGCTAGAGCATAAGAAAAGGTTTTTTACTTGGCTGATATAACAATTTCCAGCTTCTTTTGAGAAAATCTTATATAAGTGTTTTTCTAATTTTCTATGAACTTATGTTAACTTTCAGCAAAATTATGGATTCAGTTGTAAGAGAAACATTCTGTTTTTGATTTGAGGCGTTTTTCGATATCTTCAAATTTTGTAACTGCTAACCAGACAACGAGAGCTGCGTGGAGGAAAACAAGTGAATAGTTTGAAATGATAACTATGGAGATTTCACTGTATATATAAGGATCGTTTACTGAGAGAGGCACAAAAAGGCACTGGTATGGTCAAGGCAGCAAAATCACTGTTTGACCTGCCTAAGTAGGAACAATATTTGCTGTGCCAATGTGTCATAAGGATAATCTAATTTCTAATTAACGTTGTGCAGTTATAGTTTGTCTTGGTTATAGAAATTCATTATAAAGAATTTCGTTTGCAGTCCACCACATACAGATGCAGATTCCCTACGCTACCCAAGATTAGCTGATACACAAAATAAAGAATAATAGAATCAAATAAAAATTGCTCACTTATTTCATCAGTGAGTTTTATGTTGTAAGTTCTAAGAAATGCCAATATTCACGCAATATTAAAAATATTATTCAATATAAACCTAAATAGATACTATATACAATTCAGTGGAAGGATCTAAAGGACTGGATTTTTTCTTCATTTCTGACATTTCTGGTTTTCGTAATTCTTTTTTTTTTTTCTTTAATATACCTGAATATACAGTTACAAAAATATAACATGATATTTTAAAAATTATGTGACAATAAAGACAGAATAAAAAAATTATACTTTTTCTAAAGTTTTTCCCAGTTTTTCTATCATCGACTAATACTTATGGTATGAGTGGATTTCTATATGTAGAAAATGTACAATTTCCCTCTGCAAATTGATGCTTGTTAGTATTAATTAAAGTATTAGTAAAGAAGTACGAATTAAGAACTAATTGAATAATCCATTAGGGTGTTAATGTCATAGGAAACAGAAAATCACTTTAAAAGCAATGTGCGATTCTCGAAACTCATTGAAATACATGTATGATAACCAATACTGTTAGTACATTGTTCAAACTATCCTAAAATGGACATCAACTCTGTTAATATGAATTTGTAGCTGCTACGATCAGCAGTGTCAACGCTAATTCATCTATAATTTTCTCATTTTCAGTGAAAGTTTAGCATTTGCTTGTGAACCTGTTCAAGGAAGTCTGGCCAATCTTCTTGGCAACTATAAAGGGTTACCAGCCAACATGCCCGGTGAGCTCAAGGTAAATTTTCTTTTGTAGTCATTAATAACTGCGAAACAAGACAATCTGTGACGTTTTTGTCGTAGCAAACAAAAGTTGATGACTTAAATATGTATTAGTTAAAGGATTGAATAAAGCATAATCGTTATTTTCTCATTTAATTGAAGCAAACATATACCACTGTGTGTACCAATAAAACAATAATAGTTACATTTATTTATTATTATTACGATCATCGATTGTAAGAATCACTGTCATTTATTTTAATAAAATTGAAAATGGTCACGGAAATTCTGCATTGTGCAGTAATGTTTTATAAAAGATACAAGTCTTCTAAAAGAAATCAGTTATACCTAATATACATCAGTATTCATCAGTATTAAAAAATAGGAACAATTAAAGGCAATAATGAATTATACTAACAGGTTCACAACGAAAAAATATGTATACTCTGAGATAAGTTGTACTTAAAATTGATACGCAGCAGACATCAGACTTTCATATCTCAGATGTTATAACTTATCTTTTGTATTTGTGGTAAGATTTATATCTTATGTCAAAAATGAACATCAATTACTAAATTACTTACTTTCCCGTTGTCTTCAGTTCCGTTCAGTTTTCATTTGCCATTCTTTGAGATTTCATGCTTTAAGTGAGTATATCCATTTTTTCAGGAATGTGACTTTATAGAAATAGAAATCAAATACGGTATTCTACAGGTAGGTGTTTTTGTTATCAACATATAAATGCTCTTTTTAATTACTCAAAACTGTGATTGTATTTAGATCTCCTTGTCGATCGCTAGAAATTGTGAATCTGCAGTACTTCATAAGCAAGCATTAGAAAATGTTTGCTTATGGAAATGCATTGCTTTGTGTGTAGGACTGTGAAGTTGTAATTTTAGGTCTTACCTGTATTGGTTTTGGGAATTGATTTGTTATATAGTGCGTTGTACCTTATCATTTCAATATTTTCACATAAAAGTAACCTTTTATGATGTCTTATTTTTATTTTTGGGCTTGACATTCTGAAGAATAAAAAGAAATATCCAATTTTGTTCACAAGTAAATTTTGAATTTCCTTCGAAGAGACAAATGATCAGGACTACTGTTCTTTTACTCTATTACACTGAGAAACTGATTTCCTAACGTGATGAATATTAATGGATTATTTGAGACAATATCAATTTTTGTCTAAGATGTTTGATATCGGTGACATTATTATACAGATTAATTTATAATACTTGGCGAGTATTTAAGATTTTCGATCACAAGTCCCGTAACGCATTGTGGTCGTTGATATATCACAGGTGAGTGCGTGTCTGGGACAAAAGATAACCTGACTGAGCTCATCCCTTTTCAGTCTGATTTTGAACACAAAATTGTCCTTCTCCTAGATGGGTTGCCAACCAAGACTATGGAATCCAGTTTTGTAAGAGAAGAGATGGAGCCATATCTTTCACAAGGGTTTTTGTATGAAAGTGGAAACAATATAGTCCCGAGATTTGAACTTGGCACGCTGAACCCACTTTTCTCGCCGACATACGCTACGCTAGGTGCACATTCATTTAAGATTTTATAAGTACACAAATGAAGACTTTTTTAACATGTCGGTTGGGAATAATCTAAAGAAAGAAACAGGTTCCTGATTCTCTTTTGTGTGTTTTTACATCACACTTATATAATTTCGAAATTGCCTCAGTATATGACTTTACGACAAATATTCGTATATGGAAGTGCATGTACATAATGAATTCACGGACAAAATAACTGTTCTGCATTAATGAGTAAATTTTATGTTGTTACTAAATATGTAACTCGAAACCTAACTGAAGTGCAAGTGAAAAAACCAAATGATCTCGCTTAACAGCACACCTCAATCGATACATTTCCATGTGCAATGTGTGTTTTGTGTTTTTCGAGTTACAGCAGTAAATCAAAATGAGTTTATCTTAGGACACATTCACATTTTGTGTACATAATTATGTGGATTACTTTTAGATTAGTGGAGTGTTCGTCTAACTAATAATTATTGTATTCTAATCTAATCGGATGTTACGTACGTTTTTTTTTTTTTCAGATTGCCGAGGCTTTGTGTTATTTGCACGTCACAGAACAGATGATGCATCGCAATATTTCCCCGCAGTCAATCCTTCTGACCAAACGCGGAGGTTGGAAAATGGCTGGACTTGGGTTTGCTGAAAAAGCACTTAAAGATGGCAAGGTTTCTTTCTTTGTTGATTTTCCCACATTGACTGTCTACACTGATAACTACTCTTTTACTTTCTCGTAGGATGTACACAAATGAACTCAATATTAAATACACACAGCAAGCACTCCAATCCGCTGCCTCTTCTACCATTGATGTAGAGAATGGAGTTCTATTTATATATGGAATTAATAGTCAGACTATTTTCATCAGGTTTATTCAGAGATTGAACTGTGTCACAAAAATGTCTTTATTGAAATTGATATCACAGATTTCAAAATATTTGGCCAGCGAATGCAAAAAAAGTTTTCTTCGTCATTTTTTAGATAATTATTTTATTCATGATGATTAATTCTATCTAATAAAATACATATTAATATTCGGATCAATAATAGATGATTCATGCAAGTGCAAAAGCTGACATTTTCAATTAATATCATGACCAAATAATTATATTTTTCCATAATTTTTTACCCAAAATTATTTGTTTAAAATACAGGTGTAAATGAGTTTGACATTCCCCTAAAGAGTCATCTTCTGACCATCAAATTAGATTTCGTGCTTAAAGAGAATCACTGAAATCAAATTCATTTTCACTACTTTTATCCCACTTCCAGCGCAGTTATTTAGCGATTTTTAATATTCCAATATTTATTCACGTACATTATCATCATACTTGTAAATTGTAACTTTTACAATTATTTACTATGCCCATGACTAATTCTTAATTACTGGAATAAATACTAAGACATATTAATAGAAAAGGTTGACGTTCTTCTATAGAAAATATTGACTTTTTAGTTTTGATGGTTTAAAATTTGTCTAGATTTGTTCTTATTCCCTCTGCTTTTGTAACACTTGCCTGTTTTAAGTGCTTATCTCAATATTCTGGTAGTAATTACAAAAATTTGTGAAAATTGGAATGTATAACTTCAAGTTTTACAAATATTATTTTAGTTAGTCTATTATATAAAAATTGCACAATATAGTGATTTTCTAAGCGTAGCTTAGATGTGGCACAAGGCCGAAAGTAGGGGGAACCCAGTGAGGATCGAACGTGCTCAGTCGTAATTGTTCTAGCGAGATAAACTTGCTAACCATTACACCGCCTCGAGGCGCCCTTAATTGCACAATATATCCCAGCATAGGTATATATTATATTATTATTTTTATAGCATAAGTTATTTTGTAAATGAGCATCGATCAAATTCTTAACGAGATATTTTATGCTTTCCTGTGTAATTCATGAATAATTTCACATCGTTTTAATAAAATGGCAAAAAAAGATTGTTAAATTGATTTTCTTTAATTCGTGACAAATTTTCAAGAAATATGATCCTCTGAATTGTAGGATACTTACCTATGCCAACCATGGACAACCAAACTGCCGAAAATGGCTCAACCCGACTTGAATTATATGGCACCTGAGATCCTTACTGACAAGACGTGCACTTCTCTCAGCGATATATTTTCCTTGGGAATGGTTGTGTGTTCAGTTTATAATTCTGGTAAACCGTTGATTGAAGCTGAGCACAGCGTCAGCCTTTATCTGAAAAAACTGGACCAGGTAATATTATTCTTTTTCTTTCTTGATTATTATAGTACTCATTGGTATGTTTCTCTACCTTTTTACTTGTATTTGTATATGCATTGATTGTGTGCACGTATGAGTGTGTATGCGCACAAAGAACTTACAGGGATGTGGCAAAATATGATGACGGATGGCAAGAATAACCGCTACAGTTTCGCAACAATTGCGTATGTCAGGGGCAAAGGGTATATAATTAAGTTAATCCGACCTCGATTACTTCATTTTGATTTGTTGCAATAATAGGCAATAAGAAAGATCTGAGTGACGTTGATAATGGACAAATTGTTATGACTGGAACATTAGGTCAAAATATATCCGAAATCGCATGGTGTGACATTCTTAAGGATAACCACTGGGATTTTTTCTGGGCCAGTGGCTTTCTTCGGGTCTATGTCATCTAACGTTGAGTTAGAGGCAAAGATCGAGACGCAGGGCTTCGCCTTATCTGACGTAGATGAGATTACCCCGGCACCATTTATTATAGTGTGCACGGACGCTTTGCCTCTATTCAGAATTTGGCTGAAACTCCCGAGATCCAATTTGTTTGTTTTCAACTTTAGCCTGGACAGATTTTGCAGAGTTACACTTTGCATTATCTAGAACTGTATTGTACGAATACTTTTTTCACCCATTAAAATAAATAAATGGGATTTATTTCTGTTAAATCAATTTTTTCTGCTTTCTATGCATATTTAGTTATTATGCATCGGTGTACACAAATTATATGAAAAGTATGTTTATTCATTAGTTAAAAATACAATAAATTAAAAATTTGTATGTGTACGAATATTTGTCCCCCCCCTATACACACACACACTGTATATGAAGACTAAAACATCCAGTTAGAGAAGAAAGGACGGGAGCTAGTATTGGAAAATAATCTATTTGTTACAACCAAAAGATTTACAAGCATTTCAATTTAGAAACTCCATTCCTCCCAAGAGAAATGCTTAACAACATTGGACAGTTCAATTCAATTAAATGCTACACTTTACTTTTATTTTCAACAAAAGTTAATAGTACAATTTTATGCAGATCATCTTAAGACATCGTATCATCCTTTCAATGGTCTGGAGTTGATGGGTTTTTCCTCCCTCTAACTTTCGTGTTATGGCTTAAAGATTTATCATATACTACAATTTTTTTCTTTTGTTAGTGCGACTACAGTGTATATCGGCTGCCTTACAAATTAACAATTTAATTGAATTCTGAGCATTATTTTCACTGCTTGAGTCGAGACAGTTACCACTATTTGGATTTATACCCCCTCCCTTAACAAGGAAAAGTAAAGATCGGTGTAAGAGCATTGGAGTTAAGTGTATGATTAGTTCCGAATATATGTGTTAGGATAGAGTTTGAGAAATGACAGTATGATATTAACTATTAAGAGAAATTCGATCAGATAATTATGTCTACGCTTATCACATCAGTCAGCAAAAGAAATGAACATTGCAGATTCATTAAATCTAGCTACTCGAAAGAAACGGGATAATACTACATAAAAAGATCATGTTGATCCAATTATGCAATAGAAATAAGTCAAACAATTATAGAACGAAAACGCAATAAAAGTCCTTTATCTGCAATAAAAGATAGAATGTATAATAATACCTTAACTCGCCGGGCATTTTCAAACATATTTTCAAACATTCAAATTTGTCATATTCACGGTCTGAGCCAGACACAATCTTTTGGTGAAATTTGTTGGCGAATATAGAAAGGATTATCTTAGTTTTCTGAAGACGAACCATATCACTGGCATTGAGGTGTGTGTGTGTGTGTGTGTGTGTGTGTGGGGAGGGATCATTTCTCTTATTTTACCCTTTCCTTTTTTTGGTGAAGTGGGGTTTCTCTATAAAGAATAGAAATCTATTCACTCTATAGATGCATCAGTCACCAAAAGGAATAAACTGTTACACAGCAAAATCATTAAATCTAGCTACTCGAGAGAAACAGAATAATACTGTATAAAATGACATTTTTATCAAGTTCAAATTTTGCATTTATGGGATGTGTTGGATCAACGACTTTGCTGTGCTGAACGTGCAGCATATAACTGAAAGCAATTAAAGGACTTGCTGTTAACGCCCTTAAAATTAAAAGCCAGAAAAAATCTTTAGAAATCTTCTAGTGTCCATGCCAGTTCGTGATCATGTTTGACGGCAACATGAAGCACTAACAACATATTAGGCATCAGTCATACTACTCTTTACGTATTAGTATATGGTTCACAGACACACACACAAACACACACATACACCTGTGTGCGTGTGTACGTGCGTGTGTATGTGCATGTGTGTGTGTTTGTGCTTGTATGTGTACGCTTTGTGAAAAACAATGTCTTCAATAATTCCAGCAAGCTCCCATATACGCACATTATATCGATGACATATTCATATTAGCAAAGAGCTTAGAAGAAATCAAAAAAAAGCTGAAGGAAACCTTTGAGACTAACTGTCCTATACTTACGAACTCAATATTAACAAAATACAAAACCGTTTCCTTGACGTATTAGCCAATGTCATTAGCCATAATTTTACCACTTCTCTTTACAAAAAACTTCCCACGTCATGCTTTTATAATGAGAATGGTAGCGAGACACCCAACTGAGTAAAAATTAAAACTTATCAAAGGGTAAATGAACCTTATTATAGGGTTAGCGACCATCAGTGGAGTAGAATGAATTCCCTAGATATGTACGCAGCCATTGTAGTGATTATACAGCATCGCGAATGGTTCCCCCCGATGGAGTAAACGGCCACGTGTCCATGACCAAAGCAAACCTTCAAGTTGGAGGACATCGGCTGTGATTTGACCTATAGAGGAATGAGCTCAGACATGAATTAATACCTCTTCGGCTTTCAACCCAGATATGTGGGAGGAACTGGTCAGGTGATAAGCTGCGCAGATAACCTATGACCACACCTAGTCATGGAAAAGATGATAATGATTATCAAGTTTTTCATAAGATATAAAAAAAAACTAACAGTGCATTATATGTTCTCCGTCCTCAGGATATTGACCACTTTATTCAACAAATCAACAATAACTTGCATTTAATTGGAATTACATTTCATTTAAATATATATATATATATGTGTGTGTGTTTCTGTGTGTGTGTAGTAGTAGTAGTAGTAGTAGTAGTAGTAGTAGTAGTAGTAGATTTAAATGAAATTTGATCCGAAACTTTCATTCTATCGGCTTATAATGTGTATTGACAATAGATTGTTGAATACACAACGATTGTAACCTGTGTGTAGTTCCATAGATTGATATATAAAGCCTAATAAACAGATAGATAGATAGATAGATAGATAGATAGATAGATCGTGTATATCTAAAGAATTAAGAGTTTTCCTTTCATTAGAAAACGTTAAAATAGAATTCAATAATGTTCTTTTTGTCTGTATCATGTTCGTTTAGATGTGGATGATCATACCTACGCACAACTTCCTACCTTTTGGTGCACTAAGTTACTTTTAACATTTTACCATTTCTCTTTTGCCTTGTTCTGCCATCCATTCACAGAAACTCTTAAGGTGGGTTACTCAATAATGTTACAATCCTTAAAACCAATATAGAAGACAAAAGCCGAATCAAAACTAAGCGAAACATTTTTGTATGGAAGTAACTTTTAATGCGACTTGAAAATGTAACCTTCTCCCTCGCAGTGTCTGTTATCAGATAAGCAATCTGGCTTTCGCTTCTCTAGGCCAACTACTGATGTATTAATGATCATTGCTGAAAGAGTCCATTAGATAGGTTTTAGATAAGAATGGTGAAGCTTGTGCTGTTGCTTTAGATATCTCGGAGACATTTGAAAGGGTTTCGTATGCTGGTCTTCTTCACAACTGGAAAGCTTATGGTATTTCTGGACAAATTTTTGAACTGATTCAATCTTTGTTATCAAATCGCAAAATGAAAGTTCTCTTAAATGGCTACGTTTTAGATCTTTATGCAGTGATATAGGTGTCCCCCAGGGCTCTATCCTTGGATCTATGCTGTTCCTAATTTTCATCAACGGTTTTCATGATGTCATCAGTTCTTAACTTGGTATCTATGCTGATGATACAACTATTTATTCCTGTCTTAACAGTAAGCCTGAAGGGTTCGATAAGGTTAGATTAGCAGCTGATCTAAAAAATGACCTACAATCTGTTGTCAACTGGGGCAAGAGTGGCTTGTTAATGTTAACACCTCTGCTTACTTTTAATTATTTGAAAGTACCCTGTTTGCCTTCGATCAGTATGACTGATGCTAACCTCCAGGAAAGTAACATATCTAACTTTTTCTGTTAACATGAAGTTGAAAGATTATATTGAATCAATTGCTAGGTTTGAAAGTTGGTTCACTTTGTCGTGTCAGACAGTTTTCTCGCCAGAATCTATCTTACACCTTTATATATCTACCATTTGTCCATACATTGAATATTGCTGCCACATCGTCTTGTGCTTCTGCTTTGTATTTAGAGATTCTTGATAAAATACAAAGAAGAATCTGCAGTATTGTTGATCATGAGCTGGTATCACGGCTTCAATTACGTTCACACCGCTGTAACGAAACTTCCCTGTGCCATTTCTATAAAGATTTTCATAGTAATTGTTCTGATGAAATTTCCTCTATGGCACATAGACTTTATGAATTTAAGCGCAGTACTAGATTGGCCGCAATGTCTCATTCTTTTACAGTTAAAATGAAAATATATATGACCGTAACTTCTATGCTAACAGTTTCTTCTCTCGCACATCTTGTTTGTGGGAATCTCTTCTGGTTTCTTGATTTCCCCTCAACTTCGATCTTCAAAACTGTAAATGCAATGCCAATCGGTATCTTTTATCTTCTTAATTTTTGTTCTTTTATTCTTTTCTCTCCTTAATAATGTTTTCTCATATTCTCTCTCGTTCACGAACCCCTTGCGTCTTAGCGGCTTTATTGCGTTGCTTGGTGTGAAATGATTAAAAAAAGAAAAAGACGTTCCAATATCCGGGATTGATTAATGTATAAAAAGCTGATATTATTAATATTTACTAAGTCTTATCATTAAGCTGTCAATTTATTGATCTACTTACGTACATGCATATTGTATTATAATACGTTTTAAAAAAAGGTAATCGATAACATTTGTGCACACTTTTATAGACATGAAATTCTATCTAACATAGTTATTTTAAAATTTCAAATCAGTTTCTCATCCAAATGCAATGTGGGCATATTCGTCGCACTCACTATAAAAGTGTACTAAACACATAAAAATTAATATTCAGATTTATTATGCATGTATTTATATATAAAATGTGAGATACACATGAGTATACATGAATAATAGAATTATTTAAATTTAGATATGCACACCGAATACAACACAATCTATCTGCGCGTAATACTGCATGTACATAAATGTACAAAACTATTTAAAAAGTATAACACTATTTTTACTGCAATTGTTAAATGCTTAAAACTATAAAACATACAACAGTGACATTTTGTTGCATCTTTGATGATCAGAAAATCTGACAATTTCAATAAATAATTAATAAAGGAGATATTTACTCGTGTTATCTTTACTACGGTCTCAAGAAAAGATAATTTGCAAGAAATCTTTGTGTACCTGAATGAAACCTGGTTATTGATAACATGATCATATGCATAGACATTTGCCATCATATTGTGTTCCCTTTCATGTTCCCTAAATCAATAAGAGTTTTTCATGTTGTATACGATATTAGAAATTGCTCACTAATCTTCAAATCAAGGAAAGCTGTTTTAAAAAATGAACAAAAAACAGCATAATTTATAGTTAAATTTTGCAAAACATCTAATAAATTTTTTTTTTTCAGAATGTTTAAATTTATATTCGCTATTAATTGTCTAATAGTAAGGGGCACAATCCAATGGAATGCAATCCACTTCAAGCGAAAGGAAAATTCTTTTTTTTTCAATGAGTACAATAATGCTGTTACGAAATATTATTACAAAATGTCATTGACCAGGATAATATTGTTTGCTATTAATGTATATAAAATGTTTTCTTGGGTAAAGTCAAATACAACAATTTTAGAGCTACTCTGTTCGGAAAGTGAATGCGTCTCAGAAATGATGGCATATGAAGGAAAGATTTTGTCTTTTAAAAGAATCAAAAAATCATAATGATATTATTCTTACTATCATTTTCATTTGCAATTACCTTTGAGAAAAACATTTTAAAAAACTCGAACTTTTTGTACAGTTTGCGCTAAACTTTAAGAATTTCAATGTAAATATAATTTATCAACTTTCACGAATTTCAATAATTAAAAATTTGCATCTTACTTGCATTTTTCTATTTCCATATGGCCTTCAGAAGATTTGTTTTGAGAATATCATATTGCAAATAATTATTTTTTGTAATTTTTGATAATGTTTTACAGACTATATCATCTTCAAAGAAATCGAACATGAATCTCATTACGCTGCCCTCTCTCACACTTTGCATACATTTTCCTTTTATTTAAAATTAACCGTCCCATTTCAGTGACAAAACTATTAACATAAAACGCACACAAGACAATAGAAATATAATAAGCATCAATTTACAAACTACTTAAGCATTTCAAACATTTTTCGTTTCATTTACTCAACAGGATTTCTATACTGGCGTTATTAAAACATAACGATAGGAATGATGACATTAATAAAATGTTTTATTTTTATTAAATGCTTTCTTTTCTTGAATCTGAAAGCTGAGTGACGAATTTGGGAAAGTAGCTCATAAGATGCCCATTCATATCGTTGAACCAGTGGAAAAAATGATTAACAGGGACATTCGTTATCGGCCGACAGCTCAAGCATTTTCAATGGTGAGTAGGAGAATCTTAATTTCTTAGTCTCTACATCGCCAGTAATTCTATTGTATTTTGTTTCAAGAGATAACAACATTTTATTTGTCTGGTTCCGAAGAGATATATCTAATTTATTGTATATAAAAGAACATATATTAATACATTGTGCGTAGCAGGAAGGCCAAGGCGAAATTCTGTTTCAATATTCTCGACGGGATGATTTTACTGAAGTGTAAAATATAGCACATAGCAATGTCATTAAAATGAAATTCCATATTTCAGGGTAATAACTCGTTTTTTCCTTGAAAGAATATAGTATTAGCATTCTCAAAGAGTAAGCAATTGTAGTATACATGACCACATTCTTAAGTTTTCATTGGTTATTCAGAGATTTATGTGTTCAAATTTTGAACATATGTCAATTTATATTCAAATTCAAATCGAAATAATAATAATAATATTTATCAAAGTTTGAAATAATGCTATGTGTTATGCTTATTGTAACAAGTATTTGATCGTTAATTGTCGATCATGGCTACAAATTTTCAGATGCGTTACTTTCACGATCCAATAATTACGTGTCTGCAATGCCTTGATTTGATCGAACTACAGGATCCCGGTCAAAAATGCGAAGTCTACAACAGCCTTGTACAAATTCTTCCCTCCATTCCTAAGGTAAGTAATCAGTTCTTTGATTAATACTATTAACGTACATTTTTCCTTTTAGTCCAAAACATTTAATTAATTTCTGCTAGACAAACGTACTTTATTATAAAATCATTTCGATCAACATATTTTTAAGAAGCTTCAGATGTTACAGTATAACAGGGCACTGGTCCTGTTTAAATTTAAATGCATGAAATTACAAGATGGTGATTTTGAGGGATAGCTAATTGGATAATAATTATTAAAATTTTCATGAGAGTAGAGAAGAAAATTAAAAGCGAAACGCGTTAAAATTTGTTTTAAAATAATAAGATCAAATTAAGAACAGTTCCAAGGTGAGTGTCGACTGGCTGGCTATTACTTTAGCGATTGCGACAATAATTTCCAAATCACCACCCTGCAATATATAACTTGATTTGCAGTAGCTAATATAGATATTCTATTCAACCAGTTTTTTTTTTCTTTATAATCAATAAACCTGTTAGTGTTATCAACAGTGTTAGACATTTTATCAAAGGAGTTCTTATTCCAGCCTGACTTCAGAAGTTGTACTCGAACATAAGAGACGAAGGTTTACCACGGCCAGACAGGAATTATGTAATCTCGTCTGTGGTACACAGCATATATAAAGGTGTGTTCACGCCTTCAATCCCAATATCGTAGGATTTTGGGAGACCATGCATAGACGACACACCCGCTGAAACCGAGGAATGAAAAAGAAAGCCGAATGACTCAACAAAGCTAGCACCTCGCGACTGAGAAGAAAAAGATAGAACTCGGAGACGGTGGAGTGTGGCGTGTGAGTTGAGAAGTGATAGGTGATATTGTAAGACATGTCAGCGATAAAGGATTTTCAACAGCAGTGAGTTACAGCAGCATAAATTTTGACCTGATACTAATTTCACTTCAAGTTCGATGCACAACTAAAGAACAAATTTTGCATAAATTTTATTTGAAATCTTAATTTGATTTAAACATATAAAAGAACACATCTGCTGGGCTTGAATTTTATAAATACAATGAAAGTTCATTATTGTGTTTAATTATGAAAGTTCATTATTGTGTTTAATTAATTATTGGATGCGATGATTGAATGGTATTTTAAATATTCAAATTTTCTGAAACAAAGTGGTAAATTTCAAGTTTTTCAATCATTACAAAAAATCTGTCTATTATAAAGAAAATGTTTATTCTGTTTCTTTCACATAAATGTTTGGTTCGTTACTTTTGACTCGTTGTCATTTTATATTTGCAGAAAGTGATCTACAAACATATTTATCCAATCCTTTTGAATGAGTGTCGGGGAACAGATATTACATTAGCAATGTCACCTTTGCTGAGTATAATTGAATTAGCATCAAGAGAAGAATACACAGAGCTAATTCTTGCCGACGTCCGTACAATCATGGGCATGTCGAAACCGATACAAGTAAGATATTTATTGTAAAAATATACGGAATATGATATGCGTATTTTTAAATTTAATTTAAAATAAAATTTAAAATTAAAATAATTATATGTTATTATAATTATTTTGTTTCGTTTCTGCGAGCCAATTTGTTTTATTGACACATAAAAGTATTTAAAATTAATATAGTACTGTAAAATTATAGAACTAAAAAATGTGAATTAAACTTCTGATGCTTCAATGCTATTTCATATGAACACTAATTTTAATCAACATGGAATTTGGATGACATTCTGTTAAATACTAAAGAAACATGCAGAAATGTACTTAAAAATAAATATAAAATTGACTTACATAATACTACAGCTTGGCATATGTAGATCTTAAATATTCCCACTAACTAAGCTATATATAGATATAAATAATTTCCAGAAAAAAGCAGTAAAAAACTCCTGTCAATTGCAAGACCCACTGTAAAAGATGGAAAAGTGATCTTCAATTACTTTTTACTTCATATGAGATTATACTGTAGATTCGAAATGTTTTTATTATTATTTTTTTTTAGTCAACTGCTTACCTTTTGGATAAATTGTCTATTATTCTGGCAAAATCTCCCAAAGAGGAAATCAAAACAGAGGTTCTTCCACTGGTTTTCAACACATTAGATTCTAATTCACTTCAGGGACAGGTAAGTGGAAATGATAAACCCCACCTAAATAATGACTTTGTATTTTTCATTCTCATGATCTTATGATAATTTACATTGTGGCATTTATGATATTTGAAACAATAAATTTATATTTTACAAAGTATACAAATTTATGCATATTGTAAAATGCTTTCAACATGCGCATAATCATGTAACTTTTATGAAAATTTCTGTCATTTTTTTTATTGTTCTTAAATCTTCTTATATTAAAATTTTTCATGTCCTTTTCTATTATAAAAATTACAAAAAATGAATTGCATTTATTAGTCTCATTACACTAATATGATTTTATATCTGTTTATTACTATTATCCCCCTATTATAGCAACACTGCTATTAAAAACCTTGACACCTATTTATCGTGATTCTCAAACTATTTTTAGGAAGCAGCTTTAACAAGTATCGGTGTTATCAAAGAGTACGTGGATGATCAAGTCATTAAAAAGATTGTTTTGCCGAGAGCAAAGAATCTTTTCGCACGATCAAGCAATGTTAAAGTAAGTTTCATCCGTAAATATTGCTAGTCTTTTTCTGACTAAAAAATATAATGCTAATAACATTTTCTCATTTGTGACCGGATAACTTTTATACTCTTCATTCATCCATGTACATTACTACAAACGGAAAAAACACAAATACAAAATATCAACTACATATAAATGAAAAAGAATTGAATGGCAATAATCAACTTCATAGATTCGCTGTAAAAATATGCGAAGCGTTTACAAATTATAAATATATATATTTTTTATTCCTAGATATCTTCAAAAGCTTAATTGATTTTCTCTTTATTATTTTACCGTCTAACAATTGCTTAAATTCACTAACAATGTGCTCACTTGTTTCACACTTGTTAGAAATGAATATTTGTGTTTGTGATTTGTTTACATATATATTTTTCCTGATTGGATATACAAAACAAAATAATTATAATTGAATAATTTACTGGTTAATCGGGAGTGAAGTTAAAAACATGTCGCATATATTGTATTAACAGACATTAACCTGGAATAAAAAAGATTGAAGTCAATTTAATGTATTGTTGTTTTTTTTACAATTTGTTTTATGGTTAAGCATTTGTGTATGTGACTTTGTAGTAAGGTTCAATGTATGTGTACAGTTAATCTTTTTTCATTATTCGTGGCCAATTCCCGATGTGTGTGTTTTGTCACTCTGTAGAATCCTTCGTTCTTATTGCTGCTGGTAAGTAAAAGTGTGATTGTGCAAGCCAATCTCCGGCAGCAGTCAATTGTGTGCAGTTAGTGGTAAAGCCCTTGCATTTGGTTAGTCTATCTATGCAGGATCTTTAGTCACTAGCTGCACACCTTTGACACAACAGCAGACAAAGAACTGATCCCAGGAAAGCAACATTAGATTTATTATACAGCATATTTCTTAGCTACTACAGGATGGAATAGATAAATTTATTTTCATGTCATACACTTACATACAATACGTTCTAATCATGGAGAGTGCTTCTTGAATAAATATTTGGTAACAATATTCCCTGTATTCGCGGTTAGAAACGAATTCTCGTTGTCTTTTGTTGGGTTGTTGAGACTTGTTGAAAGAATAAATCTGAGTTGCAGGAGATATTTTCCAATATACAGCAATATGAGAAAATAGTTAAAAGTAAATCAAGTGATTGAAATGTACAAGAATGGCGTGCGTTATAAAAATAGTCTAAAAATGATGGCTAACATCAAATTGCGAAATCTGTAAAATGCTACCTTTGCCAGTAGAATCATCGAACACATTCTTCGACATTTCAAATTATGTTCACCATTAATTTTCTAATGCAACAAAAAGAAAAGGCAAGATAAGGAGATTTAAATGATCTTAGTTGTATCACAACTAGAGTATTGAATGATTTTTGTTTGAATTTATTAAGCTTCGATTATTTTAAGCTACTTTTGAGACAGTTTGAAGTTCTCGAAGTATTATAAAAAGAATGTTAGACATGTGTAATATGAATTACTCTCAAATTATTCTACTTGAATGATAATGAAACAATATTTTACTGTTCTGTTATTCTCTAGTTTCTTAATATTAAATTCACTTTAAAAGGCAACATCAATTTAGCATAATTCATTTTAGACTTTTCCGTATTATTATACTCTGAACAGACTTCAAATTAATTTTATTCAATCAACGTAATTATCACTATTATACAAAAATTATAAACATTTCTATACAATAATATATGCTAATTTTTGTTATTGTGTGGTTGTTTAACGCATTACTAACAGCACAATTATATATTATGTTATAATTATATATCATATTATAATTATATCTTCACTAATACTAATATTGTTCTACAAATGAACTTTATCGCGATTTTCTGTTATAATAAATGACTGCCAGAAATCAGTAATGTTTATATGAACTACTAACTAAAACATTTTATATTTGTTCAACAGTTCTCTTAACTAACAAAAACAGAAAATAGCATTGTATGTATGAGTATAAATTTGCGTTGTCTTGTTTTGACAAATTTAATTGCTAACTTAATTCGAAAAGAAACTACGGCTAAATTCACCGGAATACACCAATTTCCAGCCATTTCAAGTTACCCTTGATGACCAGCAGCTACTATTATTCTTGGCGTTTCCCTCTTTAAAAACATACCATGACTGAAAGAAACGAAATAAAACTAAACCAGTTTGTCAAAAAAACACCTAGGCCCCTCCACCTTGCTTTCTCCAGTATTCGTAGCGTTCGTAGCAATTTTTTCAGTGTAGAATAATTTCTCTTGGAACGTTATGCAGTCATCCTAGCTCTCTGTGAAATTAAACTCTTCCACTGAATTCTCTCCTTCTCTTTCGAAAGGGCTCTATTGTCCACATGCATGGTCTTGGTGTCTATGTTCGCGAGCATCTCCCACTGGTAAAAGGAACTGTCTCTTGAGTTACCGACTTGTTCTCACATTGATAAGGATATTCAGTCAGTTATCTCTCCTTCCTTTATCGATCCGCTTCCTCTAAAGGCTGTTGTGTTGCTTGCGAGATAGAATTTCTGATAGTATAGATGAGGCCCACTCTCTAGACTCGTCTGCAAATATCTTTGTATTCGGCCAAACATATCAAGTTGCTTCATTAATCTAACGCCACTGATCTGACATCCCAACTTTGAACTTCTCTATTGCTCAATCTCTCACTCAAATAGTTGACTCTGACAGACACTCTTCTCTACTTGATCTCTCCCTTACTTGCATCCCAGAATCATATCGTACTCTACAACTCTGTCCTCTTGGCAAACCTGACCACGCGGTAGCGTCTATAGATGTTACGCTCAGCTCTCCCATCAGGCAAGAAACCCCTATTAATCGAACATCTTTCTCTTATCAACACCCTGATTGGGAATTATTCGTGATTTTCTTCGTGATGTCACTTGCATTGATATTTATAATCATCCTGTTGTGAAATATGCAACTCGGGTCTCTTCCAGGGTGAAAGCCGGCATGGAAACACCAAGTGAAACTTCAGCCTTTTCCTTGGTTCTCTTCTACCTGTTCAGGCACTATAGCCCACAGGAATCACCTTCCGGCTATGTCAGAGTGACAGGTTCAATTGTAATAGACGTCTCTTTGTCACCGCTCGTAATGAGTGTAATCGTGTCCTCGAAGAGACATAGTCACTATTCGCTGATAGAATCACAATTTTGGCACTAAAGATTACTGGTGACTCTGCAAGAATGTGCTGAACATGAATATATCCTTAATCCCTCCTCTCTTCAATCACTGTGAAATGTTTTCATCTACGCTAGATAAAGCAGAGGGCTTTGCCTGGAAATTCTCTTCCAACTCGACCCTCGACTCATCTGAAGTATATCTTCTTCATTTTTCCCTAGAATAGAGTCTCTACGGAATGATATGAACATAACTCCATCCTTGATTTCTGATAGAATTTCTAAACTAGACCTCAATAATGCTTGTGTATTCGACGGTATGCCGGCAATTGTCCGAAAGGAAAATCCTACTGAACTGGTTCTTGTTCTCTTCAAATTTTACAATAAATGTTTCAGTACTTCTTGTTTTCCAACTTGTTGGAAGTCCTCCGCTCTAGTTCGTCTCTTTAAGGTTATCATCTTTTGGGTAATCATCTGATCCCTCGAATTATCACACTATTAATCTCTTGCCTCTGATTGGCAAAGTATTAAAATCTCCCATCAACGCCGAATTGGTTAAACATCTTAATGCACACGACTTCCTTTCGGGTATACAATTTGGCGTCCATCTTTCCAGGTCTACTGCCTGTGTTAACAGCTATTATTGAATTTTTCTATTAAGCTTTAGATAAGAACAACGAAGCTCAGATTGTGGCCCTAGAAATTTCAAAGGCGTTCGGCATGGTTTGGCATGCTCGTCTTCTCCCCATGCTCAAAGGCGAATGGTGTCTCTGGGCGAATATTTAGCCTAATTCAATCGTTCCTAACAAATCATGTAATGATTGTGTTGAATGGATACTCTTCTAGTTCGTCTCATATTAATGCAGATGTCCCCCATTGTTTCTGAATTTCATCAACGGTCTTCGCGAGGTCATCTCTTCCCAACTAGGTATTTATGCAGATGACACTATTTACTCCTCTCTTAGCAAAAATTCCGACAGATCCGACAAAGTAGAACTTGCAACATCTCTGGAAAAGACTTCCAATCAGTGATTAACGGGGTAAGGAATGACCTCCAAAAGAAAACTGCTTTAAATTAATCAACAAAGAGAATCTTTGCTGTCATGACTGATGATAAACTCCAGGAGAGCAACACTTTGTGCCTTCTTGGGCTCTCGTTTTCCACTGATATGAAGTGAAATGATTATACTGAATCAGTTGTTTTCTACTAGGAATGTTGTTCGATGTGTCGGGCCGAACAATTCTTCTTGTTAGAATCCATTTTGAACATTTATAAATCTACCATTCGTCCGTGCGCTGTATACTGCTAGCATATCTGGTCTGGTGCTCCTAATATATATCTCAGATTCTTGACAAAATTCAAAGAAGGGTCTAATATTATCCACCTGTCATCTCGACTGCAGTCACTTTCCCACCGACGTGACGTGGCTTTCCTCTGTTTTCTTTTCCTATACTTATTTGCATAGCAATTGTTCTAATGAGGAGTTCTTAGCATCTCAACTGCATGATTTTAAGCTTTCAACTAGATTCGTAACTAGGTCTCTCCGTTTCACTGTTGAAGTAGCTGGACGCAACCGTCAGTTCTATTCTAATAGTTTCTTTTCTCACACTTCTTGTTTGTGGAATCCCCTTCGATTTCTTGCTTTCTTACTACTGACAATCTTCAAAAATTTAAGTGCAACATCAATTCTCATCTTTCTGAATCCTGTTCCATTATTGGCATTTCTTCACTTCTCTTTACTTCTCATTCTCTTTGATTATCTGTACCCCCCCCCCTGCGTCCCAGTAGAATTATCGCCTTACTTGGAATGAAATTTTTTTTAAAAAAGGAAAAAGAAATACTCTTGGAGTGTTAGTATTGCCTCAAATACCTATTGAGTGACTAGGAGTTTTGAAGCCAAATCAGCTACTGAATTCAAAATGGTACTTTGTTCTGCAATGATTACTGATAGCACATAAACTAATAGTACATCATTACTCTAGATATGCGCAAGACGAGCCAGATTTTCAAATGTCAAAGCGAATAATTCTACCAACGCTGAGGATCTAAATTTCCTAGAACCGAAAATTTCTGCATACATACGAGTAGAAAATATAATTGTAATAATCTGTATATTAATACGCTTGTACCTATGTATGACGTGTGTCACGCTTGGTAACTGAGAGGCAAACAGAAAGAGAGAGGGACAGAGAGTAAAACATAAAGAGTGAGAGCGTTGTAGAGAGACAAAAAGAAAGTTTGACACACGAAGAGATTGGAGGGGGTCATCTTAGATAAAGGAAGTTCTTTGTAGTGAGGGAAAAATCGCCCCTGAACTGGAAGTGACATTTTGAAATTAAATTTTTTTAATCTTATCTTCGCGAATTTTTTACAGACTGGAGGAACTCAGATTATATTTGATCACCGAGGGGATAAAAGAAACAGAGAGGGACATAAAGAATAAAACAGAAACATAAAATTGGGCGTAGGGATACAAAAAGAGAGTGTGACACACAAGAGGATTAGCGTAGGTCATCTTAGACAAAGGTAATTGTTTGGAATGAGGGACTAAATTAAGTACCACCACAGAAACATATCATGTTTTGTGACCTAACATTCTGTTGAAGACATTTCAGCATTTTTAAGACAGGCTATTGTCAGTTTCCTTAGAACTATCTGGGAATGGTCACACGTTGAAAGGTATAGAGTGTCTCATTAAAAAAAAAATTATTAAATCCGAGTAATTTAACCGGGTCCTTCTAGTAATAATTAATACAATGAAAAAATATTTTCTCATTCACTGGATTGTAACAAGTTGAGAGATATTGCCTGGTTCAATGAGTTTCACTTTTTTTTTCTCAACAAGGTGAGAGGTAGTGTATATGTATGCTGTTATCCTGAGGAGGCGGTGTCATCTTGGTGCACTGTAAGCAAACAAGACAGTAGTGATAGTGTTATAATTTAGGCAACGTTTTCTGGGAAACACTTGGTTTTATCATTTAGATGAAAGGCACTTTATCGCACACCACCTATAACAACAATGAACACTACCTCTTCATGGCAATTATCTTCTATGAATGCAGTGATATTTTAACAGGATAATGCGCCATGTTGTAGATAAGTCATTTAAGAAATTTGAAGAAAACTTCACTGTGTTGTCTTTGCAACCAAACTCTCCAGATTTCAGTTCTACTTAAGGATCAACAATTTATTAGGCAGGTGGACATATTGTTTAGCCCATCAGTGTATATTAGCAATGTAGTAGAGCTGAAGATACAGAATGAATAATAATAATAATGATCTTACTTCATTTGGTCAAATTAAATTATGTTTTACATTTCGATTGATTTAAAAGGAAAGAAGTAGAGAAAAAGTTGTTCTTATTTGTTAGAAATTAAGTCAAACATTTTCTGCTAGATAATTGATTGTGCTATTACTACGAATCTGTTTTAATTTTAATTATTTGTTGACCTTTCAGATGAAGATCAATGCATTAACCTGTATAAAGAAGCTACTCGATAGTCTGGACAAGATGATCATTCTTGATGAGGTGCTACCGTTCCTCACTGAAATCTCCTGTCAGGATGCTGAAGTTGTAATGACAATAATTGGTAGGTACACCATCAGGTCAAACGAAGGAAAAAGCAGTTGACATGAACGATATTTTCTCATTGTTCTGGCCATCATTTTGCTTTCCAATGTTTCACATAGCCACATATAGTTTTTACCACTCTGTATTTTTCAGTGTCAGAACTGTTTCAATTTTACCACTACAATTTACACAGGTATTTGCTTTATGTCAGATGTATTATAAATTGTATTTTATTTTATATGTATAATAAAATAATAAATAAATAAGAGAAAAATAAATAATTCAGCATTATTCAGAAACATACATTTTACTGGATCTTGCCTTTCGACTTTGATTGTCCTCCTTATACGTTAAGTTCTATCGTCCGATTTGATGGACATGTAAAAGAAATACGTAAATGTAATACGGAAGATACATAAATTTAAATTAAAATCAATTTCCCTCCCACTCATTTGTGTGTGTGTGTTTTTTATATTTAGCTTAGTTCTTGATGCGGAACAAATGAGGTGATTAATATACATTAACTTCATTTTCTCTCTATAGCAATAAGAAGTTACTTGGATGGTGAAAGATTCCTTTGCTCTTTCAACTGACAAAACACCGCCTCTTATACTTTTATCCAATAAGTTTCCTCTTTTTCTCGCTCTCTGATTTATATTTCACTAGCAGCATGGCCCGGCGTTGCCCGTGCTTGATTCAAAAGTCGTAAGACTCATATAGCAATCGCTATCACTTGACTTAAAATATTTTTGCCCTTCCTTGCTTTTAAATGAGTGCCCTTTGCCGTGCTGATGTTGCTATATGCCTTACTTCTTGTCTATCTCACACTGCGATTTTTTTCTAAGCTCTATACTAAACATTAAATCTATTACGAAAAAAGAACTAAACAAAATGAACACAAAACGATCAGCATTAAAAAAAGACTCGTAACTGGAAAAACCGAATGAAAAAAGAATATACTTTTTCACACCCAACCCAGTTCTGCGGAATCAGAATCAACGTTGAGTTTAAGCAAGCGAATGAGCCAATTGTATTAAAATGCCATGCAGATTTAAATTTTTCCCACTTGTGACGAATGCAGCTATCGATTTTTTTTGCATGCTAGCATGCTAGTTAACATTCGTGTCAGTCAACTGTTGGCTCTCATGCTGGCCAATAGAATCTTCCTGCCTATTCGTGGCAGCCAGCCATAGGCTCTCACTCTGGCCAGTAGAAAATGGCCGCAAAGTACATGAAAACTGCCGTAGAAGCATGAAAAAATCGGTTCTTTCCACTATCGATGGGAGTTGGGAAATGCAAAGTCGGTCTTGGCCTTCCCGCTAACTTCGAGCATATGCATGTAAATTTTGGTGCAAATCCGTCGAAAATTGCGGCCGTGCCTTCGTTACACACACACACATCCTGCCTTTTATAGATAGAGATAATATTTAGGATATTTTACAGAACTTTAGGTGTTTATCTTACAAGGGAAAATAAATAAAATTTCTATGAAGATAGAAATACTTTTGGTAGAAAATTGAACTATGGTTGATTCAGTAATTCTGTATATATTGTAAATTTTATAATATTCCCATTTATATTTCTTTGATAATTTATTACACATTGAAAGGATTTGCTGAATTAAGTCTAGTTATTCTCCAGTTGTAAGATATTAGGAAAATACTTAATTGTAGTTTTATATCATACTTCGGCGTCCAATATTTTGTCCGCAGTCTTATATATTGTAGTATAAATTTATATTAATTTATATTCTAAAACTTTTTTGTTCCCAGATGCATGAATTTATTCTATATTTTTGGTGGCGGAGGTAGGGGATTTAAAACAAATGTATCCATAGTTCAGATAAATAAATATAGTAATAGTTTAATCTATAGTGGGTCAGCCAATTTGTATTGGTTATAAATAGAAATAAAAACTGACCCTCTACAATTTTTACAATATCAAATGTAACAAAGACAACAACAAGAGAAATAATCAAGTAGAAGAAAATGTGAATTTGTTCAACAATAAATATTTTTTATAAACACAACAAATACATAATATATAGTGCAAAGGACGAATTGTGTGTGAATATTCTGTATGTGCGTGCGTGTGTGAATATTCTGTATGTGCGTGCGTGTGTGAATATTGTGCTTAGCGTGTTTCCACGCTATCCCTTGTTAGCGCCTACATTTCGAGGTTGATAGCTGAAATCCTGAAGGAAAAAGAGTGTGTGTGAATATTCTGTATGTGCGTGCATGTGTGAATATTGTGCTTAGCGTGTTTCCACGCTATCCCTTGTTAGCACCTACATTTCGAGGTTGATAGCTGAAATCCTGAAGTAAAAAGAGAAAGAGGCCAAGAGTCAGCGGCTATTTATAGCCAGGGAAGAGAGACCCCTGGTGAAAGGGTTAACGGAGTGAAGGAGAAGTTAACTCCGACAAATCCAACAATATTCATTTAATAAAACAGAATTAAAAGGCAAACCAAACAGAAATAATTTTAAAAAAAGATTTGCACAAATATTCTTGTAATTTTATATAATAACAAGATCATTTTTTACGGAATTTAAAAAAACATTAGTATTAAATGACTCTTCGGAGTAAGACATTTTTAGAGAAATGTGATTGTATTTTAAATGTTGCACTCTTAGTTAAAATAGTTAAATTTACTTGATTATTTCTAAGTGGATTTGCGAGTGTGTGTGTGTGTGTGTGTGTGTGTGTGTGTGTGTGTGTGTGTGTGTGTGTGTGCGAGAGAGCTCGCGAGCTCGCGAGCTCGTGTGTGCACATGCATCTTTGTGTGCATTAGCTCAGTGTCTGTGTGCACAATCATGTCAAATTTTCGCGCAATATCTAATCTTTACACTCCGTAGGGTTAATTATTGCGTGAGACAATTTATTGTGATGCATCAAAGTTATCTTATTTCGGCAGGTATTTACAGTCACCTATTAAGTAACAAGCGGTTCGGGCTGACTCATAATTTATTAGCTACGAAGGTGATGCCACCACTTATACCACACACTGTCAACCCCGGCCTCAACATGGATCAGGTGAGTTTCTGATGGCCAGGAAGGCTCTATGAATTTTATCATCATCAATAATCTAATAACTTATCAAATCATAACAAATGCAATTATGATAATAAAAAAAACGTATCTGAAGTGTAAATTTAATGAAGGTAGTGGTTTGTTTATCAGAATCTAAATTCACATAACTGAATTACACCATTCTTTTTTTTTTTTTTTTTTTCTAAATGTCTTTATGCAATTTCGGGATTCCATTAGAACAAATATTTGTTAGAAATTACCATGAGCCTTAAAAATTTTACTTTTTTTTTTGTTGCTTTCCCCGAACTTATTTTACACCAGAGTATATATCAAACGTGACTAAAAAATATATGGTTCTCAGCAATTATAATTTTATAATATATTATTCAATTATATTGGGTAGAACTTATAATGAAATGTAGTTTTGAATAACCAAATAATTTCACAATCAAGAAAAACATTTCTTCTCAAAAACTGGAAGATGGTATTCGGTAACTATGAGGTCGTTTTTCATAATTAATTTGTTTTGTAAAAGTAATTGATAATTAACTTTAAATCAGGAATCAAATATTAACAAACATAGATGGGCGAAAGATTGTTGTTTACAATTACAAAAAAATGGAATGTCATGTTTCTTTAATTTTTCTAACAATATCATTTTTATACTTCGAAAATATTTTCACTCAATTTTAAAATAAAAATTTTTCAAATCAATTCTTTTATTTTCTTTTGTTGGTCGCATATTTTATCTTTTATTGTTTTGAAAAAATATTGGTAATAATTATTGATACAGCATTCGAAATTATCAATGCATTTATTGAACATCTTCTTCAGTGCAGAAATGAAATTGAATAATTCTTTAATTGTATTTTATGATGGATATAGTTGACGATAAAAGGTATGTGCACCAATGATAAATCATTTTGAAATTCCCATAAGTCATGGAAGCATGTATATCAAGTTTTATAAAGGACAACTATCTTTTAAACATCTCATGGAAAAATGAATTACTATTACTATTGAATTATTGTTAATATTATGTTATATCTGAGAAAGTATCTGAGAAAGTGAAATTTTCTCTTTTCAAATTATGTTTTATGCTACCGTATTGTAGGTATATAAAGTTTGGCTGTTGCACGCAATTATAGTATGATAATCTTTTTCAATATTTTATATTTCCCTGTTGATATCTGCCAGTTCAGTTCCTTGATGGTTGTTCTCCGCGAAATGCTGGACCAAATTGATACCCAAAGGCGTCATAAGATGAAAATGGAAATTGCTCCCAGTATCAGGTAGGAATTTTATCGTTTCTCTCCAAACAAAGCAACCATAATTTAAACTTTTTTATTTAAACTTGTTTACACTTTATAATTGTCACGTTTATTTAAGTGTATGAAGGGCCATCAGTAACCCCATCGTCTGTCACACTTATTAGCTGAAATGTTAATTATTATGTCAGATCTTTGTGATTAATGGATAAAGGTTAATAGTATTGAAAGGAGATTATGGTTACAAGTAAATATCTGTTTTTTTCTTCATTATGCTACTGAATTATTGACTTAACTACATAAATTTCCTTACAAAGAACATGTCTAAAACAACTTTTTTTTTATATTAAATCTATAATAAAAATTCACAGCAACGTAGGACAGATTTAGAAACAGAAAACTTAATAAAACAATTTTAATCCGTTAATGTATTTTAAGAACAATAATTAAAATCTATAAGTAGGAAACTGGTTGCTTGACAGATACATTCTCTGCTTACGTCGAAAATTAGATTTCTTATTCCATCTTCTGTTATCAATCTAGTATCGCCTCTAGAAATTAACACACGAGGGCCCGTGTTTCACTTTATCAACATGTATTGTATGCAATGCTATGTTTATTTTCTCAGAAATCGGGAAATTGAAGAATATTTTGCAAGAGGCGGAAATAATGTGTACGTGTTTGATCTTAGTGGGCATGACACATAATAAGAGAGTTGTATGCTTTATGTGTTTATTTAAGAATAATATAAGAATAATCAAGT